GCAGAAAAGAAGTTTCCTGCATACGTCTCTTCCAAAATTGAAACGTGTGCTCTGGTATCCCAGAGAATTTCAAACTGTTAACCACGTCTGACGAGTAGCGAATCAAATCCTTAAATTCGAGGAAACGGCCACACCATGGCAGCTGGAATCGTCAGCATTTCGTAATGATCCTAATTTGAAAATCTGTCGGGCAAAAAGCTGCATGATTTGTGCGAAGTCTCCATGAGCTGCCTAAACTGCCTTTATAGGATGACAGAAGGGAAACGATTTCCAGTAATTGACCGTAGTATGATGCCACGATAGTTTTTAACGTTTGGTCGCCCGATCCACTACGAATATGGGAACGGTTATTTCACACTTCCATTCTCAATGAACAGGTTTGGAGGTCTACATTTGTTGATGTAGGGCATGGCGTTTTTTACCATTTCTGTTCCTTCATACTTAATGAATTCCGGAGGATCCACCGCATAGGCTTTTTTTATATTGAAGTGTAGCAAAGCCTTTATGTTTTCTAATGGGGATGAATCTGAACTAACCTTGTGCTGGTAGACAATTTCTTCTACAGGATCGCCAGCGAGTGTTACTTCTCAGCATAACTAGGAAGCATGATTTTAAGTTAAAGATTCAGTAAATTGATTGAAAGAAGAACAAACACAATGTGCAGGAAAAAACCAGCAGGAGAATCAGAATACCTTCAGGTTCAGATCAGCGCGAGCATGGCGAAATTGTCAGCTCAACCATTAAATGAATTGCCACAGAGGGCGTCAAAAATCTGCGGCAATAGCAATTATTTTGTAATGAATCAGTGGTAAGTCGCATCTACCCGCCGATTTCAGATCGACTGTGATTTCGTGGAGTTTGATGCGAAGGCTGTTTAATGCCTGTGCTATCATCGGCTTTGGGATATTTGGTTACGGTAAGCTGTGCCAGTGATTTCATTGTTAACATGGTCATAACACTGGTGTCACTGCTTGCAACTGTTCGTTCCTCTGGTTTCATGCTTATTTGTGTTTCATAGACTTACGGAATGCAAGTTCTGTAAAAACATATTTTATTCCTCTGCATAACAAATGAGAGGTTTTGAGGTTTTGTTTATGCGGTAGCATATATGAAGTGCCGAATCCTGGCACGTCCATAGAGTGCAAAATTGTTTTATGATTTTGACTAATTTGAGTAAATTGTGAGTGCTCATGAAGTTTTGAGGTGCTGGGTATTTCGACGTCGGTTCTAAATTGAAGAATCAGTCTCATAAATGCGTCGAATATAACTGCTGTACTTGAATATGTTTTAATTATCTAACTGGTCTGAAACTTGCCGAATCGAAACCTCTTGCTAGATATGTTCCCCCAGTTTGTGACTGACGTCTTGGTGTTGTACTTAACGATATTTTTGAATAGGCTGGAAGCTGTCCGATTTGTTCGGTGTTCGAATTTTACGCAGCTGCAATATCGCCCGTTCCAGTTCTGTTGTAATTGACACAAACGATGACGTGGGTAGCAACAGTAAACGAAATGTTTGTCATTTAGCATAGTTTTAGGCACTTAACTTCGATCCTGCTCCAGACAGCATTGCGGTGAAGCGCGGTCGTAAATTTGCCGTCTTTGACATGAAAGTGCCGCTGCGACGCGGACAAGAGGTGGACATCGAAGTGCGTTACCGCAGCGATAAAGGTGAATTATTCGTACCGAAAGCGTTCATCCCCCCACCGTTGGTGTCCGTTCTTTGTCACCTGGCAGGAACTGGTCAGGCCAAGGGTGCAGTTATATACGAAATACTGAACGCGTCAGGTCACAAGATTCGCGTGCTGTTCAGCCACATGATTCCGTGGTTTTTGAGGATCTCCTATCACACGATGCGTCTGCGGTGTGCGAAACGGACTACAAAATCCGGTGAGCGATGAACTTGCGTACTTGGTGCTTTGACGTCGGTTTCTCTCTTCAGACTCGATCTTGTACTACCCGGCGCGGGACCGACTGAGTCCGCATTACTTAGAAATGTCGTTCACGATACCGGCGTTTTCTCAGTGCGACTTGTCCATTGAATTCGATAAGGCGATGCTACGATGGACAGAATATCCGCCGGACGCCCACCACGGCTTTCACGTGCCTGCACCCATGGTCACGTTCCTGGACGCAGACTTTGCCAACCAGTCGATTTTGCTCGAGAGGTCTACCGCGTTAGTCACCAGGTAGTCAAAAAAGTACAGTGCAGTCTCTAAGTAACGCGATGAAACAGTTGCGCGTGAAACGTGACATTGCGCTTCGCACCAGTAAAATGCATTAGTGCTATATCCTTCACCGGACATTGACAGAATGTCTTGAGACGTGAGTGAAGATGCTGTAAATACTGACGTGGTGACTGTCGCCAGATACCGTATTCCACCGTGAATTAATATTTGTGGTGATCAGCCTGCGCAATCTTCCTCCCTATTTGCTAATTTCGTACTGGATTAGAGGAGTGATTGCAAGACGGTCATTCTCCAATGTTGGGGAATAGCAAATGCCTGTATGACCAAGATGGCCAGAGCATGATAATGCATGGCGTACAAAAGCTATGCGATGTCAGGTCAGTGCAATCTCTCATTTCTAGACGTCTGAGAGTTCGCAATATTACAGCACCATCAGATTTGTTTCTGGCGTAGGATGTTTGTTTTTCACATTAAACTGTTCTAAGTTTAACACGTGACAGATTATAATGTTACTAATAATAGCCATGTTTCAGTGACTGTTACTGTACTTTTGATCATGAGCAGAAATAGTGATGATTTCATGGCTAGCGACACGAAATAATTAACGCAATTTTGCTTGAAATACGAGCATTTCAGTCGTCATCATGATGTAGTATCCTTATTAGGCCCTGATGACGATCGATGTGCTGTTGATCAAAATATTGGCATGTAAGTCTAAATATTAGGTACTACTTCGTATCATTAACCAAGGAATCAGAATCCGGGGATCATCTTTAATCATCTAGAATATGACATCGGTAAATATTTGGAAATGGACAATTCTGTACTTGTTTGACTCACACACGATCATGTTTTCACTGTTTTCTCACAGAGTTCACCTACGGACCCGCAGAAGTACTTTGGTTTATTTTTTCCTGCGCAATAGTTAAGTTTAGGTTTAGATCTCTGGTAATTCCTGACGAGAAGGTGGTCTTTACGACTGTCTATGGCGAAGTTCTTCTCGTTACCTTGCCAACGCCTGACTTCAGCATGCCGTACAACGTCATCTGCCTGGTTTGCACCGTAGTCGCCCTAGCATTTGGTCCGATTCATAATCTGACAACGAAGCGGTAATTTTTTAGCACCACTGATAGCTGGCTTACGCTGCTGTACGTTTTAGGTTCAAAGCCATTGAAGCCACGAAAAAGATAGGACCTTCAAGCAAACTGAAATCTCTCATATGCTGCTGTAAGCAGTGGCTGTTCAGAAAAGCGTTGCCTGCCAGTAATAGCGGCCGAAACTAAACAGCTGTATATCTGGTGTTAAACCGTTAGAAAACCTTTCATTCTGAACCAGAAGTACTTGTGAATGTCTCTTGCTGTCAGCTGGCAGATAGTACAGCAGGTTGCAGCTGCAATGCTTTTGCTGCTTATTGTAACGATCTTTATGACCGTCTCTTTTGTGTGTCATACTTCTGTTAGCTGCAAAGAACGCGTTGCTGCTGGTTCTGTAACGTTCTCTGACGGCTAGAGACTGATTAGAATGAATGTTATAAAAATCACGGTCGAACAACATGCGCTATTGGGTACTGACATTTGCACTGTTACATTACTTGTTTAGTAAGAGCTTTCATTTCCTTACAGTCATGTTTCTCCTCTTGTTTATAATCGACCATCAGTTTCCTGTGTCAAACGGTGCTTTATCCTAGAGGCACTTTGTAACCTCTACCAGTTTGTCATTTGTTATATCGTAATAAAATTATTTGACCGTTAAATGAACGTTGTTGCTTCACTATTCTTGAAGTTTGCCAAAGAAAGTCGATGAAAAAATGGCCGTAAACGGTATAAATTTATAATCTATAAGCCTTAAACTTTGTTATCCCTCGTTCAAATGTTGAAAAGCATGCATGCAACAGCTTTGTGGAATTTGGTTACGTTGGTTCTTTTCATGCTGTACTAGTTACGTTTAGATTAGAATACATAGTCATTTAATCAGTCATGCTGAGCGGTATATTGTATTCGTCATTAGACAATAATATAAAATTGCAAGATCATTCCTTCACTTAAAGCATCATGGATACCCGACAATTTTACATACTTGCTTGTGAGAATTGACGATAATTTTGTTAAGCATGAATTTGAATATTGAAATGCACACCAAACGTTTTAAAATAGAGTACTGTTGCTCTAACAGTCCTTCGACGAAACCTCCTTTCTACCACTTGGATCCAGGATCGCACCCTTTTGATTAACATTCAGCGTTCGTTACTATAGATGAGGGCAAGTGTGTAAATAAACTCAGTATGAAAAGTCAACGACACTAAACAGTGGATCGCTAGCATATTTCGCACTTTCGATCTTGTCTCAATTGTGATTCAAATAAACGATCCATTAAAGGTATGCCTGTCAAATTAGCCTATAAACGGTGCCGATGAAAGTGAATGTGGAATTTATAAGAAACGACATGGTGATAAACAGGGATCTGAAA